GTTTTTTGACGAATCAAAATGGAAGTCGTGCCGTATACTGATCCGAAAGACAACTCAAACTCACCGCCATGGCAAGAAATGTTCAGATCAGCTTCCACCCACAAACCACCGCCATCATCACCACCACCACCACCACCACCAACTCCCCCGGAGCCACCGCAAGCCACAACCAACAGAGACGAGAAGGAGGAGGATTCTTCTTCACTCTCAGGTGACCCTCAGGTGCGTCTTGCACTATACATAGCCATGGCTCACGCCGGTTTCGGTTTTGCTTTCTTTATCTTCTACGGCGTTTATAGACTGCTCGAACAATATCTCCGGCCGATGCTCTGGGCTATTCTTTGTTCCATTCCCCTTAGAGGAATCCAACAAACCCTAGTTTCATTTTGGTCTGAGCCGTTGCAATTAGGGCTCACAGAAACCATACTCGCCATACCTGTATCTGTGTTCAGGGTATTTATAGGTGCCTTAGTTGAATTCAGAGATATCTTTTATAAAGTAATTCGTCGTAAACCGAAGAAACCACATCATATGAAACGAAAACGAAGTGGGTTTTCGATTGTGTTAAGATGGTTGTTATCTTTTTGGGTTTTTGTAATGGTGTACGAAGAATTGGGTGGTTTGGGTGCTATTACTCTATTAGGGATTGGGTTCATGTTCACTTCTAGCAATGTCGACTCCACCATGTCATTTGTTTCCTCTTTCCGGAGTCATAGTTTCAAGCGTAGCCCTTATTCCGCGATCTTTACAAAACCGATCCTAAACAGATTGAAAACATTAGTTGCAATTGGATTGATTGTTGGAATGATTGTGGGTTCTTTAACGATGGTTACCTTCTTTTCATATAAAGTTGGAATCGAAGGAAAAGACGCGGTTTTTTCGATTAAATCTCATATTGAAGAAAGCAATTACGCGGAAAAGATCGGATTGAAGAAATGGATAAACGAAAACGATGTTCCTGGAATGGTGGATCGATACACAAAGCAATTTTACGAAACTGTTTATGATCAGATTGATAGTTTAGCAGTGCAATATAACATGACAGAAATCGTTGAAGAAATGAAACAAATACTTTCCCCTCGGTTTACAAACATGTCAGCTCGAACAACCGCATTAATAACACCCAATCCGTACGCCGAAAAAATCATAAGTTTAAGAAAGCGCATTACTAATCGTGAATGGGCTGAGATTTACCCGGAACTTAACGACTTGTTCAAAGAAGTTGTAATCAGTAGAAATGATATAACCGAAAAGGCGAAAGCAATCGCGTTTCAGGGAAAAGACGTGGTTCTTCGTGTTTTCGCGAGCAGTAAATCGATTTTGGGTGGTAGCGGGAGGTTTTTCTTTGTGGTGGTGGAATCGATTGTGTCTGGGGCGGCTGAGCTTTTGAATTTTGCTTCTCAAATGATGGTTTTTATATGGGTTTTGTATTCACTTATAACCTCTGATTCGGGTGGTGTGACTGATCAGGTTATGAGTATGATCCCGGTGTCAAAGTCAGCCAGGACAAGGTGCGTTGAGGTTCTTGATAAAGCCATTTCTGGGGTTCTTCTGGCGACTGCTGAGATAGCTTTCTTTCAAGGCTGTTTGACTTGGCTTTTGTTTAGGCTGTTTGATATTCATTTCTTGTACATGTCCACGTTTCTTGCGTTTATCAGCCCATTTTTCCCGATTGTTCCGTATTTTATCTCAACCGTTCCTGCTGCGTTGCAATTGGCGCTCGAAGGTCGATACGTGATTGCTGTTTGTCTGTCCATCATTCATATGGTGCTTGTTGAATATGGTGCCAGTGAAATCCAAGAGGACATACCTGGTCACAGTGCTTATCTCACCGGGTTAAGCATCATTGGTGGAGTCGCATTGTTCCCATCTGCAGTCGAGGTCAAATTTTACTCACTTAGTTTACTTGAAAATAACCCTGTTTTTTTTTTTTTTTTTTTTTTTTTTAACTTTTAACTTTTAAATTTAATTTAACAGGGAGCAATAATGGGACCATTGATAACGACAGTTGTAATAGCTCTCAAGAATCTGTATGTAGAGTTTGTTTTGGACGATCCAAGTAAACAAGAAAAAGACTGAACTGTCTTCTTTTCTTTTCTTTTCTTTTCTTTCTATATTACTTTATTGCCTATTGGTTGGTTGTAATTGTATGGATTTATGACACCCTCCCCTTTTTTGTTTATTCTTTCAAGATTTTGTACCATTGTATTGTATGTATATGCCTGTGTGTTTATGTATGTGAGTTAGTCTGTAATTACAGATCTGTAAAGATGTTTTGTTGTGCTTTTTTTTTTTGGGCTGTTCAATGTTCAACGTACTTGTACTTTGTACTTTATAAAGATGATTTGATGTGCTCTTGAAACGAGAAGCTTTTTTCCGAGTAGTTTGTGTTATACCCAATAAAAATATAAGCTTACACAATTAGCAAGTTTATAACTTGATTTAGGGGTCGGGTTACAGCAGACCGAATTAGAAGCTCTTACCGAGTTAACTTATGAGTTATGATTGAAATTTGCTATTTGATTTTGCATCTTATTGGTAATGCAAAATGACTATATTATCCTCAGACAATATTTTTTATAATAATTTTCTTTATGATTTACCATTTAATTTATAACATTATATTTTTTTATAAAAACATTCAACCTATAGTATAAAGTAAAGAAATTAAAGATTCACATCTTTTGTTTTGGACTGTTGGCTTGATGTACATAGGCAAAAACTATTGGCTTAATACATCCGGACATTATAAACTCATGCCTTTGAAAATCCGTAAAATACGATGGAATTCCAATCACACAGTCTACAAATGGGGACCGATATACTTCACTGTCACTTGTTTCAAATGTGCAAACAGTATCTCCAAAATCTCCGCTGCTGGCCTAAAGGTCCATATCTTACCCAAGTACTTTAAATGGATCCAATCAATCTCTTAATCAAAATCTCCCCTGCAGAACCTAAAAATCTGTGTTTCTCACGCTTTGATTCATCATTCAATAACACATCAATTCCACCACACTTTGCAACTGCTATAGCACAATTCTCATTCCCAATATCAAGTCCAACCACACTCATTCTAAATTCTCAAGAAAGTCACAAGTACAATCTTTGAAAAACAAACACTTACTATGATCTTTAACAACATCTAATTCATACAAACACACAATCAGTTCATAATCACACCACATCAACAACGAAGAAACTCATAAACATATTTTTGCTCATTTGGACCATAAATTCGTGTAACAAAATACACACAACAAATTTTTACTCATTTGGACCATAAACTCGTGCAACAAAATCACACCCCAGCAACAGCAAGAAACTCATGAACAACAGCAAAATTAGATGAAGAACAACACGACGAGCAACAAAATCGATGCAATAAAAACAGAAACAACATGGGAAATCTCATAACAGGAACAAAAATACGAGACATACAAACTTGAGTGGTGGTCAGAGGATGACGTCGGAGGAAGGTGGTTGGAGACTGTGGTGTCGGATCGATGGCAGAGATGAAGTGGGACAAAATTGGAATTGTGGGTTTTTGGTGCACTTTTGTCCCGGTCCTTAAATTTAAAGAGAAACCAAATCTTCACTTCCTCATGAACCGAATCAGTTTTTTGGACCGAGTCTAATAGTAAAAAAACAATATCAAACATGCCAAATTTGTTTTTTTTTTTTTTTTGACCGAGACCCCATTTGTACCCAATTAGAACTAGGGGTGTTGATCGGGTAAAATTTTCGGGTTTCGGATAGAACGGGTCGGGTAGTTCGGGTATTTCTTTAAAATAATAATATCCGATACCCGACCTATATTGTAATTCGGGTTTCGGGTATTCGGGTTTTAGGTCGGGTATTTTCAGGTATACCCGAAATTTACTTAAGTGTCACTTATTATTTTTTTTTAATTTTTTTTTTTTGCATTTCGGCTGCTTTAATAAAATATTGGGTAACAAAATATTACATACAATTAACAAGTACATGTACGATAACAATACAAGTCATTATAATATGTTATGTGATTTTTGCATTTCATTTCAAATTTTGATAATAAAAAAAACAAACAGTTTATAGAGTACATGATCAGTTTTTGATCAAATTTAGATTAACCAAACATGTTACATGACTTAATGTAAAATATGAGTATATAAAAGTTATAGATAAAAAATTTAGCATGTTATCTAAATTGCAGGGACCAATTATATAACTATATTTCAATTAACAAGGAGAAACATAGACTTGTTAACAAAAAAGAAACATGTGCATACTTGAAAAAAAGAAACAAATTCGTAGTGCACAAAAAAAGGGGAATCTAATATCTCATTCATTTTTATTATATTTGTTGTAACATTCTGTTTAAAACTCCATTTCATTTTCAATCATTTCTTTTGTATTTACTATATACCATTCCACTAATGAAGACATATAACATTTGATTTAAACTATAAGGAACAATAATTATGTAAAATAATGATACAACTTTCATAGTTATTATAACTAATGTATTAATTAGTTTTTTTTTTTTAAATCGGATATTCGGATATACCCGAATTTTTTTAAACCTACCCAATACCCGATCTATTTTAATATCGGGTTACCCGATTACCCGAATTTTCAAACCCGATTTACCCGAATTCAAAACGGATCGGGTCGGGTAATCAGATATCGGGTATTTTCAACAAGCCTAATTAGAACCCATATCAAACACCCCTTAATTTTCTTTCTAGTAAATCATTAAAATGACCATTATTGTATCTAAAATAATCCACCATTTGGCTAAATTGATTTCAAGAAATGCCTTTCGTGAAATCCACTACAAAATCAAAGATCTAACAACCTTGTTTCACAAAGTTGCTTCACCACCAAATGATGGTGTTATTTTTTGGCAAAATGAGCAGTTATTTTGTAATAAATTTTTAAAAAATTGTCCAAAAGACTATTTTGTGAGAAATGTTCAAAAAAAATCTGTTGACCAGACTATTTGTTTACCCATGACAAGCCTAATCTTTTTTCCTACTCATAGTCGCTCACTGATTGAAGAAACACAAGGGGCAAATGTACATTAATAATAACTATTCCAACTAGAATCATCCTTCCCATATTAGCAACTTCAACACTATCAAGCATTATACAAAGATAACAAACAAACTGGAGCAGAAATTCTTAGAATATTAGCAACTGGATGGATTATTACTTCATGTATTTGTGAAGAAATTTGCGATGGAAGTCGCTACGAATGGTGTCATTGATGAAGCGCTTTGGAGCCTTTGTCTCTCCACGAGCCTGGTTCTTGAACACCACATCATCATCCCACCTGTCACAAATAAACAACAATCAATGACACAAAATCAAATAACACACACACACACATATATATATATATATATATATATATATATATATATATATTTAAAGAGATTGCAATACCTTCGTTTAACATTGAAGGAAGTGGAAGTTGGATTATTAAGCAAAGGGTTCCCTCTTATCAACTCAGCCTCTTTCAGTTTAAGCTCCTCTTCTTGCTCTTCACGTTCCTGTACAATTTACAAACCAAATCCATGTCATATATAATTAAACAAATCTCAAGTAAGGAAAAGATTCTTATTAAAGAAAAAACATAATAATAATAATAATATGTTTAAGAAAGACCAACTCACTTTGCGTAGTTTTTCCTCGGCTCGTTCCTTCTTGATTTGTTCAAGCTCTGCTAAAAGTGCTTCTGTATCATCTTCATCATCATCATCATCGTCCTCATCACTAACCACAACAAATTTGTAAGCCATATTGAAAATATTAAGGTTACTCAAATATTCAATTGATAATTCTACATTTCTTTTTTGGCTTAATGGACTTAATAGGTTAAGCACTTAAACAAGGCATGGTTACCCATTCAGCCAATACTCATACATGACTTGATAAGTAGTTTGACTTAAACCTATTAAAATTACTAGGTAAAATACCAACCTGTCATCATCACTTTTGATGTCTAAATCAGCATCATCAGCATCTGCACTGCGTGGAACAATGCGATCCTCAACTTCTCTCCTTGATCCTAAGTATGGATAATATTTAAACAGTAGATTAAAATTTTGCATTTTGGTTACAAAAGCAATCAAAACATCAAGAAGTTATTAGATGCAATATGTACCTTCCAGTAGGTGATGGCCACTTTTTCTTCGGTCTCTGTCCTCTGCAACCAAATTGATACAATCAATCACATACACAAGTCAAGAGTCAACACTAACTAATATTACATTACAGATGAAAGAGAAGAGTCATGTGATTTTACCACCATAACCCTTGTCTTTAGATGAGAAGTGTCTCCGCTCACGCTCCACCAACTCCTCTTTCAGGTCTCTCCTTTCTAGTTCATCCTGGGTGTCCTGACCATCCTTTCTGTAGCAACAAACACCAATCAGTATTGAAAACTAAAAAGATTAAATCTCCCTTCTGCAATTTCATCAAGTTTCGTATGCATGTTAATAGATTTGTTTCAATGTTACAAGATTAGTGTGCAGATACTAATTTTAGACAACTTAAAGTAAAATACAATATAGAGGAAAAGATAACCTGGGCTTGAGAGTTGTGTGAGAAGCAATATCCCTCGAGGAATACTTCTGAGAAGGACCAAATATACGTGTTCCACCTTGTTCGTTACCACCTTTAGCAGGTGCCCATGTCGGTCTAGCAGCCGTCGTCATACTTTCTCACGATTCTTTCTGAGACAACCTGCCGACTCAAATCCAGAAGGTAATCTGATTAATCACTGGTTTTGTATTCTACAGTATTATAAAGGTTAAATTGGATCCTAAAAATACCTAAGCATAAACTAAAATCAAAACACATATATGAATGAAAACCGACTGAAATCTTAGAACCAAGCCTTATTTAATCGGAGAAAGAATTGAGACGCCAGAAATTTAAGGTTAGGGTTTTACCTTGACACGATGATTACCCAAGTCGACCGTCAATCGCCTGAAAGCAAAGAAAGATAAAACGAGATCTGGCCTCTTTTGTTAACACCTTGTTTGCGAGCCCTCCCTTGGATTTAGATTGGGTAGTCCTTAACCTCCCAAATCGGAAGAAAAAATAAAAGAAAGCCACGAAAAAGAATAGAAAAGAAAGGAAAACATTTTTTTTTTCTAGATGGAAAGAAATAAAAGAAAAATTAATATGTTTTTTTTTCAAATCCTTTAAGAATGAAAGTTATGAGGGAAAATGATCCTTCAATTTCTCTCACTTCCTATGAAACTCGAAAACACTATTTTTTTGTTTTTTTCTTCTCATTTCCACCAATTACATTTTTTTCTCTCGTTAAGTTGAACTTGGAAACATGATGTAAATGCACCTATTAATTCATATGTTACAAGACTATGGCCATCGATAAGTCGTCAAAAATAATAAAAAAGAAAAGGAATATAGCTCTTAAAACTATCTCTATTCACAACTAAACTCAATCTAACTATCTATTAAAATATTATTTTTATCTCTTCTATCTATACAATCCAATTAAACTCAAACTTTATCACCATTAACAACCCAATCAAAATCAAATTTTTAATTACAAAAAAATAACAACTTATTTTATTTTCAGAAAAATAGATATTATTATTTTTATTATAAGTTTACATAGACAAACCAAATTACAATAATAACATTAAATATAAAATTACATATACAAATCATCATATCATATCATACTATATTATAAATGAAACATTTTTCTTTTCACCACATTCATTTGAAACTCCCATGACTTTTCAATTTCTTTCGAATAATAATTATAAGTTGGTTAATAAGGTTAACTAAATATCAAACCTAAAGTGTAATCATATACAAACTAAATTTCAATATTAAAATAATATCTTTACTTCTACTTATAAAGTTATGTTTTTTAACTTTTAACATATTATACTTAATTTATTAGTCTTAATATATTTTTGGATGTAAACCATTATCATTTTAAAGATACAATTTTGGAATAATTTGTATAAAATACTTAAATTATTAATTTAAATATAACATTATAGGGTCAACTTAAATATAAATTTTAGTTTAGTTAAATTTCAATATTAAAATAATATCTTTACTTCTACTTATAAAGTTATGTTTTTTAACTTTTAACATATTCTACTTAATTTATTAGTCTTAATATATTTTTGGATGTAAACCATTATCATTTGAAAGATACAATTTTGGAACAACTTGTATAAAATACTTAAATTATTAATTTAAATATAACATTATAGAGTCAACTTAAATATAAATTTTAGTTTAATTAAACAAGCCAAAAAATATTTTGTAAATAGTTAAAAGTAATAATTTGTGGTGTCTTTCTAATAATGATTATAAGTTAGTTAATAAGGTTAGATAAATATCAAATCTAATGTGTAATCATAAATAAACTAAATTTCAGTTTTAAAATAATATCTTTACTTCTACTTATAAAGTTGTCTTTAACTGTTAACATATTATACTTAATTTATTAGATTTAAAATGTTGTTGTGTGTAAACCATTATTAATTTAAAGCTACAACTTTTGAACAGTTTGGACAAAATACTTAAATTGTTAATTTAAATATAACATTACAGTGTCAACTTAAATATAAATTTCAGTTCCACTTAAAAAACCAAAGAATATTTTGTAAATAGTTAAATGTGATAAACTGTAGTGATAAATGCAAAAACTAAATTGTAATATTAATTTAACTAAAATATTTCCTAAAAGATATTTTTATAATCGTTAAAAGTTTTCAAATAAGTAGCTTAAAATAACTTACAATAACAATAGTTAAAAATAACTTTATACAAATGATTATATTGTTACCTTTAAAATCAAAAAACAATGTTTGATGTTTTAAATAATTATAATTATAGAAACTAAAACATTAAGCAAATAAATTTTAAAAAATTAATTAACAATAACAACAACTATAAATAACATTAAACCATATGTTATATTTAATTTTATTCATGTGTAACTCGCAGATAGAAGTCATTCAAACGATTGAGATTATGCAGTTATAATAGATGTATATATTTAAAAAACAATCAATATATTATATATCAAATTAGTATAAAAATTATTATATCAAATTTAACAACAACGTTATTGTTATATTTAAAAAAACATATATTTGTAAAGACTTCAACTATATAGGTGTTTCTGCACAACGCGCGGGCATTCGCCTATTGATACATATATTACGTTGGATTTGAAAGAAACGGAAATTTTTCATAATATACGAACGAAAACATATAAAAAAAATAATGAACCGCAGTTAAATACTACTATATCAATATTATATTCTATTTGTAGAGATTTTTTAATTATATTGTATTTTTATAGGATTTAAAGTGATATAATTACAAGATTTTTATAAATAATAAATTTTAAAACAATTTAACCATATAAAATTATCTTTATTTTGTGCAACGCCTGCTATATACATAAAAATAAATGGGCCGACTATAAGTTGTTGTTTGTTTTTTTAAACGAAAATTCATGAAGTCTGCAGACCACCTCTGCAACTCTCTTCAGCAGAAGAGGTAGACAAAACGGTTACAACTGTAATAATAAGTCTGTTTGTTTTTTAACATTTGCAGGCTACTGCAATTAACTGAAACTTAAAAAAACTGATTTTACAAACTAAGAATAGTTCTCAACATCGAAATTTTAATAATTCTAGTCTTAAAACACAGAAACAATATTAAAACAAAATATAAATAAAATAAATAAAATTTCTAAAAAATATAAAAGAAGTTATTAGTTTTTTTTTAGAAAAATCTATTTTTAAAGCACATAAAAAAATTATGAAAATATTGCAAACAATGTCTAGAAAATTCGTAAAAAATCACACATGTTAAAAAAGATGTAATCGAAACTGAAAATATTTTAAAAAAACGGTAAAAAAAACTTTAAAAAAAAATTAAAGATTTAAAAAAAATTCAAGTTATAAAAAATTATGAAATTATAAAAAGAAATTGCATCAAAATTTGTAAATCAAAGTTTTTAAAAAAAATCAAGTTATACCAAATTTCAAAAAAAAAAAATCACTTGAAAAAAATGAAAGTTGAAAAGTATTAAGGGGCAAGTCAAGTGCTGTTTGGAAGAGAACACGCACATAGGTTTTGTTACTTGTATGTTGTGTCGTAGGAAAAATTGTCTAAACAGATTTTTCTAAAAAAAAACAAACAGCCTTTAAGTCGATATATCAAACCGGTTGTGAAGTTTTTGAGCATTTTTTATTTCTTTTTAATTTTTTATGTGACACTTGGCAATTATCTTAATTTGTTTTTATTTTGTTTTATATAATCAATCCTTATATATTGTTTTATCCTAATAAAATTTCAACTTTTAAAAATAAAATATAACATAAACAGTGCAATAATATATATATATATATATATATATATATAATATATATATATATAATATTTTTATATTTTAAATAAAGAATTAAGGTTGGCACCCCATATTTATTTTTATTTAAGTCCCTCCAACATATAGTATATATTACATTTCTAACTATTCAATCTTTTTACTTTAGACTTATCGTCAAATATCTTACTTTTATTTATAATAACTAGGTTTGCACCACCGGAGACTCTATGCTCGTTTGAAAAACACACTACCAAATATATAGGAAACCATGACGAAAAAAAATTTAAAAAAATAATTATCAGCAAAAATCAAAAACTCTTCAAAATCATGTGTCCGTACAAACATGTAAAATATAATTTTGTAGAAATGGATTCTTAAAAAACTAAATTGCAAAATAAAATGTAAAAAGGTTGAAAATAAAGTAACATTAAAAAAAACTTAGTTCTTAAAACCATATAAAAACAAAGTTGTAAAAGAATTGGGAAAAATATTTGGAAAATATCGTAAAAATAAATTTAAAAAATTGGCAAAAGTTGTTAGGAAAAAAAATTAGGTTTGTAAGAGAAATAAATGTTAGGCTAAATTTGTAAAATAGAAGTTATGGGGTGAACAAATAAAATATTATGCAAGCTTGTTTTTAACCATCATTCACATTCTGACAATTTTATGGTTGTGTGTCAAATTTTTCGAAAATTTGTAAATGAGGCTAATCTTTGCTTCTATTTTTTGTGGGTTTTCACAAGATTGTGGGGGGAGAAGATATGAAAAACTAATTTTCGAGGAAGAGGATGAAGATATCTCTTGCAACATAACGTCAAGTCGTATTGCTTATGTTCTGTTTGCGAATAGGTTGGGCTATTGCTTAACAAATATTAGACAAAAATGCAAAAATGGTTTCTGTGGTTTCTCATTTTATGTGGCTACGGTCCAAAGGTTTGAAAAGTTGCAGATTTGGTCATTTTCAACAAGTTTTGTTGTGCTTTTAGTCCCTCATCCGTTAACTTTCTTAAAATGACAATTTTAACCCCAGAGACCATTTTCGCAGTTTTGTCTTTTACTATACTATAAGGACCATTTTTACATACATTCTTTTTTATTTTAATGAAGTATTATATATTAATAGATATTATTTTTAATATATAATATTATATATTAATAAATATTTTTTATTGGATTATTAATTTATTTTAGTTGAATTTTTTTTAAAAAAATTGTTGGAGTAATTCTTTTTTATTGAATTATTATATATCAATACATATAGTTTTTAATATATAATATTTCTATCATAATAAATATTATATATTGGATTATCAATTTTTTTTAGTTAATTTTTGTAAATTTTAATTATTTTTTATTGTATTATTACTTTTAATTTATTATTTTCTTTCATATACTAAATGTTGTTTTATTGGATTATTAATTTATTTTAGTTAATTATATTTTTTTTAATTTTTTTGTTGAAGTAATTCTTTTTATTGAATTATTATATATCAGGACATATAGTTTTTAATATATAATATTTATATCGTAATAAATATTATATTATGGGATTATTATATATTACAAAACATTATTTTATTGGATTATTAATTTCTTTTAGTTGATTTTTTTTATAATTTCTTTTTTGTTGGAGCAATTTTTTTATTAGATTATTATATATCAACAAATATTATTTTTAATATATAATATTTACATCATAATAAATAATACATTATTGGATTATTAATTTTTGTAATTTGTTTTTTTTTGAATTATTAAGTTGTTGAAATATTACTTTTAATTTATTATTTTTTTTAATATAATAAATATTATCTTATTGGATTATTATTTTATTTTTAATGTATACTATTAATTGTTTTTAATTTTATTAGTTTCACCACAAAGTCGTCGAAATACGTAAAAGTGTCGCTTATCATCGTCAAAAATTGGCAGGATCACCTCCAAACACCTTCATTGGAGGTTCAATAGATACCCTACCCTATTCCACCTAGCGTTGC